GCACATTCTTCAATGACAGATTTTCTGAAACAAAAAGCATTGTGTGTTGAGCGATGTGACAATAGATAAGTAAACTCGCATAACTGTAAAGTATTTAAAAATCTTACGGGAAATTATAGCATGACATATTTGTAGGCAAAACAACAATAGCAAAAACGATAGGGGCAAACGATAGAGGCAAAGTAAACGACAGAAACAAACTGGACGACAGAAACAGCAGTTTTCTGAAACACTAGCAAATTAAACAATACAAGAGTAAGAATTGCAACTACAATAGCAATAAATAGAGAATAACACATGTTATTGAAATATTTAAACGTACATTTTATATTTTTTCGTAATGTCTTTAATAATGAGATTATTTTCTTGTTAATGAAAATGAAACACAGGACAATATAGTTTTCCAACAACAGCGATTATGATGTCAAGATACCGTAAAAGTACATACTGATGTCTTATTATTTAAAAACGCGTATATATAACTTTGCGTATATATAACTTATTCATAAATATATATCGAATGTTTAACACACAAATGTATACATTAGTTGTCTGTATTGGTTGAGGAATTCACATCGTCATTTTTGTGAACAGCAGTAATACTACATCGGCAATTAACGTGAAATAATGAAAATAGTCAAAACATAAATGCCATATTTTAAGTGTAACGCTATCGAGATTTCTGTGCAAGCTGAACACCTCTATATCGATTAATGAATAATACCCAAGTCATCATTCCGCATTATACACATTTAGTATAGAAATAGACTTATTACAAAGTATGAAAAGTGAACACACATTTAGAGCGATTCTCGTTTCACATTTAATCTTATAAAATGGATAAATACGCCGGATACCATATTCAGATTGGTACCTGATAATGTACTGATTGTCGATTGCAAACAATTTAAAATGATACAGTAACTCGTGGGTGAGTATGTATTTAACTGACGTTTCAATCGATGATGTTCGACCGCATTGTTATTTGTATGCTAATTTAATATTGAAACTGCTCAGAGCGATGTGGAGCGATGGCGAATGCTTGAACTATACAAACGGAAAATCTGAAATCCATTGTAAAAACGTCTTCCGTGACACGTCCAAAAAGCATTACGATGTAGTCCACTAACATTAATTGAAATCCAGCAATAAATCTGTAAAATAAATTGTAGAAATATGTCAGAAATATTGTTGTCATATATGTTGTATGTAAAATAAAAAATATTTATCTCGCCTTACTCGCCCATGACAGTTGTAACACGTAGTATTGCGTGTCGTCATTCCACACAGGAGTCTTGTTATGTAACTCTATCAGATTGTACATCTGTTTGAATTTCCATCGTTCTACAAGTGTAAAAAAAGATACAATTTTGTTATAAACATCACATGAATAGTTATAATGTCAGTTTTAATTTAGTTTTATCTGTTGCTGCTACAGTTTCAACTATATTATATAATTATATATTTTTGCTGGCTGAGGTAACACTTTTCGCAATAAAAATTAATATATCTAAATATGATGCTTATATATAAGTGTCAAAATTACATCTACAGACCAAAATCCATGGTCGGAATTGGCGTCTTGACGATTGATTCGAAAAAGTGAATATATATTTTTTGTTAGTAATTTTGATTATACAATCAACTATATAATTTTAAACTCTGATACACATAAAGTATATATTATTTTATTTCACAAGACTTTTTGACACGCAGTTCTAGAATATATTTCTTTTTTTGTCTTACCGTGTCACATATATTAATATTAAAATTATAATTACCAAGTAAGGTTTCTGATTCAACCCGTAGGCATATCTCCACTTACTTCTGATCGAGCGTCCTGGTGTAATGACGATCATTTTATGCGAGCCTTTAAAACCTACAACATTCGTATCGTACACCATTGCGGCTATTCCTTCCGTGTATTGAAACATTCATCGCGTTTATCGTTCTTCATCAATGAGTATCCATTGTCGTGAATTGTGAACTGTGTTCCCAGAAGATTCGATCGGAGTTTACCAACGTAACATTCCTCTCCCCTCGAAAGATCTGTAGAATCGGTCAAAATTAAATAATTTCTCGTTGTACTTTTCTTCCTGTTTCGCCAGTCAGTAGGAAAACCTGCAAGTGTAATCGGTATACAGAGGACACTGTCAAAATATGTAAATGTAATTTTTGAAAATTATCTTTTTCCCGTAATCACGTTCTAGATGTAAGAAATAAGTCGGATAAAGACCATGGTTCATTCCCTTTCGGTCGCACGTTATTCGACATTTGTAATGCATTCTTTTATTTTATTTTATTTGCCGGTTGTAATAGAAACTGTTCGATATTGCCTTCTACGTTTCCCTCCAATTCTGGCCTCTGCAAAACAAAGTATTGAAGAATTATTTCTTAGCATTCTTATATTATGAATAAAACACTTATATACACAGTACATTTATACATCATAATACGTATAATACATACAGAAGTTATTTTCCCTACTATTAAGAGTATTAGGTCCTTCCGATGGGGTACCACATGATGTGGTGAAAAACATGACAGAGATTCCGAGGGCAAATGCAATTCTATGGGTGACAATTCCTCATCGGTGCAATAAGTGCTCTGAGAAACTTGATACAAGCCTCTATCGTTGACCATTGCTACAAATAATATCAATTAGTGTAATGAATTTTGAACATAAAGTTATGCATAATTAAAACAAAAAATGTTTTATTTTTGTATTACTGATAAAGCTTTTGGTGTTGACAAGTAATGGTAACTATTTTTCTAGCAACCTAATAAAATATACATATATATGGATATGTATTTTACTTTTTTAACAATTACTTGTCTAACTATTCTAACAATAAATTTATCATTATAATTGTCCCCTCACTATTTTTTCTTCCTACATAAGGTCCCACATCTGTATGTTTTGAAAACAGCATATTGCAATAGGCTGTCGTATGCCGA